CCCCTAACAGGTCTGGGACAGATGGGAACAAAATGCCCCTATGCAGGAACTTTATTCTACTATTTCCCTGTATTCACACAACTCCACGTCCCATTACAATCCCCACTACAGAAAACAGGCTTGAAGAATGTAGTGATTTGTTCAGCATGCTCAAGGTGGCAGAGCCTCAATCCAAGCCCAGGCCAACCTGACACCAGGGCCCATCTTTTGCCCCATGTGTGGGCCTGGTCTAGATGCCTCCATGCCCTCAAACCGGGAGCCCTGGCCTCAGCACCACCTGGCGGCACCCACCCTCCGTGACCGCGTTGTACTTAATGGCGGAGTTCATTGCCGCTCGGCACGCTCTGTGCCAGCAGGTCCTCCATGTGGGACGGCTCACACTTGCGCAGCTAGTTCTCCTCCTGCAGCAACTTGGCAGCGTCCTCTCCCGTGGCTGGCAGCGGGACTGGCAAGGGACAGTGGGTACATCATTGGCTTCTGGGTCCAGTGGGACATCCTCCCCCCACGGGGAGGGCAAGAAAACCATCCAGGCCCCTGAGATGAGCCCAGGGGGAATGGCTGCAGCATTAGGCCTGCAAACAGAGGCTGAGAACAGGGAGGAAGGCAAGGAGGGATACAAGCTGGACATAAAGTAGACACAGCTCCAGCTAAAGTGTGGCCCAGCAGGTTTCGGAGGTGCAGGAGAGAGGCTCAGTCTAGGAGCAGAACCCCCTGAGTTCTTGCTCCTCTTTCCAATTACAGTTCTTCCCCAGGGCCTCAGTTTTACTTATCTGTAAAATGGGTGGGGCAGGTGCGGACTCAGGCCTGTAATCTCAGCACTTTGGGAGGCGAGATGGGAAGATCACCTAAAGTCAGGAATTTGAGACTAGCCTGGTCAACATGGCGAAGCCCTGTCTCTACTAAAAATACAAAAATTAGCCGGGCATGGTGGTGTATGCCTGTAGTCCCAGCTACTTGGGAGGCTGAGACAGGAGAATCACTTGAACCCGGAAGGTAGAGGTTGCAGTGAGCTGAGATTGTGCCACTGCACTCCAGCCTGGGCAACACAGAGAGACTCTGCACTCAAGAAAAAAAAAAAAAAAAGGCCGGGCGCGGTGGCTCAAGCCTGTAATCCCAGCACTTTGGAGGCCGGCGGGTGGATCACGAGGTCAGGAGATCGAGACCATCCTGGCTAACACGGTGAGCCGTCTCTGGGAAATACAAAAAATTAGCCGGGCGCGGTGGCGGGCACCTGTAGTCCCAGCTACTCGGCTGAGGCAGGAGAGATAGAGAACCCGGGAGGCGGAGCTTGCAGTGGGCCAAGATCGTGCCACTGCACTCCAGCCTGGGTAACACAGCGAGACCTGTCTCAAAAAAAAAAAGAATAGTAACCAGATCCTCCAAAAGCATCAAAGCCTCATTCCAGGGAAGGGCCAGGAACTTTAAATGTTAGGGCTCAGGATAGCGTTGGTCAGGTTGTGAGGAGGAGGAGAAAGAGAGAAGAAGAGGAAGAAAGGCCAGTGGGAGAAGCAGGGTTGTCCACCTCCTGTAGGTTCCCCTTCTACCTGGGAGAACTGGACATAGGCTCCAGGTGCCGGGGTAGGCACTCCTGTCTTACAGAACCTCAAATGTCAACATCCAGCATTTCCCAAGAGACTCAGTCTGTGAAACTGTCAGTTGGAACAAGACAATGGTTGAAACATAAAAGCATCAGGAGAGTGCATACATGCAACTGTTCATCTTCTTTAGACCTAAAGCCACCATAACGACACCGTGTGTGCCACCCGCTAAGAGGAGCAGGGACCATCACATTCCCACTGCCACGTGGAAATGGATGGACAGCGCCATCCACTGAGACTTCTGCAAAACCTGGTCACCGAGATGAGCTGCCCTCTCCCTCTATCTTGGGTTCAGCCAGCTCCACACCTTCCCCAGGTGGGAATATGGGATTTGGAGTTCACATCTTTGCAGCAAGCTACAGGCAAGCACGGAGGGATGCTCGGCCCTTCCTTCTAGTTACCACATGCGGAATAAGTCTGGGCAAATTCATCCTGAGCCTCCGTTTGCCTCATCTGTAAAATGGGCTTCTTCTGTCATAAGGTTGTGCCTGTCCCACAGCAAGTTACAGTCATGAACATCAGTATGACTGCTCAGGAAAGGGACATGCGAAGAGTAAAATGTGGGTGGTGTCTGTGGAGGAGCGGATGGGAGGTGGCACCTGGGCTCTCCAGGCGGGGGAGAGGTTGTGGTGACAAGCCCTGATGCAGGCAAGCAGGCTGGTGGTCTGAGCGTCCTGGGCCAGGTCCCGCGTGCCCAAGCCCTTCTCCTGGCACAGGACGCTGCTCTCCAGTGTCTGTGGGGAAAATCGAGAGGGGTCTTCAGGGGACCTGGGACCTAAGCTCTAGCCAATAGTCTCCTCAAATACAAGTCCTAAAGCCCTCAAGATGGAGTGAAGCCTGGGTCGAATCAAAATCCCATGGGAGGAGCCTCTTGTGCGCTCCCCACCCCTGGAAGAAGTCCACCCAGGCCAGATGCGGGGCGAACCCCATCTCTACTAAAAATATAAAAATTAGCCAGGCATGGTGGCAGGCACCTGTAATCCCAGCTACCAGGGAGGCTGAGGCAAGAGAATCACTTGAACCCGGGAGGTGGAGGTTGCAGTGAGCCAAGATCACGCGATGGGCAATAAGAGTGGGGGCAAAAAAAAAAAAGAAGTGGATAATTTCTTGTCTTAAAAATCTTCAAGGTGCCTGGCGTGATGGCTCACACCTATAATCCCAGTATTTTGGGAGGCTGATATGCGTGGATCATATGAGCTTAAGAATTAGAGATCAGCCTGGGCAACATGTCAAAACCCCATCTCTACAAAAAACAGAAAAATTAGCCAGGCATGGTGGTGTGTGCCTGTAGTCCCAGCTACTCAGGAGGCTGAGGTGGGAGGATCACTTAAGCCTAGGAGGTGGAGGTTGCAGTGAACTGAGATCGCACCACTGCACTCCAGCCTGGGTGACAGAACAAGACCCTGTCTCAAATTAAAAGAAAAAAAAATCTTCAAGGCTAGGTATGGTGGCTTTTGCCTGTAATATCAGCATCTGGGAAGGCTGAGGCAGTGTAATCGCTTGAGGCCAGAAGTTTGAGACCATCCTGAGCAACACAGCACGACCCCACCTCTAAAATAAAAAAAAAATAAAAAATAAAAATAAAATAAAAATTTAAAACTCCAAGAAATACAGTCCAGAATAGTGCTGTCAATAGAACTCTCTGAGATGACAGGATGTTCTATGGCCACATATGGTTGATGAATGCTTGAAATGTGGCTAGGGCAACTAAAAAACTGAATTTTCTTCTTTTTTTTTTTTTTTTTTTTTTTTTTTTCAGATGGAGTCTCAATCTGTCACCCAGGCTGGAGTACAGTGGTGTGATCTCAGCTCACTGCAAGCTTTGCCTCCCAGGTTCACACCATTGTCCCACCTCAGCCTCCCACTAGCTGGGACTACAGATGCCCGCCACCATGCCCAGCTAATTTTGTTTTTGTATTTTTGGTAGAGACGGGGTTTCACCATGTTAGCCAGAATGGTCTTGATCTCCTGACCTCGTGATCCGCCCACCTTGGCCTCCCCAAGTCCTGGGATTACAGGTGTGAGCCACCGCAACCAGCCTTTTTTTTTTTTTTTTTTTTTTGAGATGGAGTCTTCCTCATCTCCCAACCTGGAGTGCAGAGACACGATCCTGGCTCATTGCAACCTCCGCCTCTGGGGTTCAAGTGATTCTCCCACCTCAGCCTCAGAAGTAGCTGGGATTACAGGAGCATGCCACCACGCCTGGTTAATTTTTGCATTTTTAGTAGAAACAGGTTTCACCATGTTGGTCAGTCAGCTGGATGTGAGCCACCACACCCAGTCTGAATTTTCACTTTTTAAAATTTTTAATTAAATTTTAAAAGAGTCAGGCACAGTGGCTTATGCCTGTAATCCCAGCAATTTGGGAGGCTGAGGAGGGAGGAGTGTTTGAAGCCAAGAGTTCAAGACCAGTGTGGGCAACAAAGTGAGACCCCCCCCCATCTCTACAAAAAACTTAGAAATGTTGGGGGCTTGTCTAGCATCCTCAGGGATGAGATCAGAGTTGCTTAGGAATCCGGGGAGGTGAGGTCTCAGAGGGTGGTGAGGGCACAGAGGAAGGGAGTGGAAACCTAACCCTCAGGCATGGGTCCCATATCCTTCCCCAGGCCAGGCCCAGGCCCTGGCCCCCAACTAGGGACAGTTGGGAGGTAGAGGTGGGAGGATCACTTGAGTCTGGGAGTTCCAGGCAACAGTGAGCTGTGATGGAGCCATTGTGCCCCAGCCTGGGAAACACAGCACGAGCGTGACTCAAAACAAAGCAAAACAAAACAAAACAAAACTGAATAATAAAAAATAAATGTTGGCCAGGTGCGGTGGCTCATGCCTGTAATCCCAGCACTTTGGGAGACGGAGGCGGGTGGATCACGAGGTCAGGAGTTCAAGATCAGCCTGGCCAGGATGGTGAAACCCCATCTCTACTAAATACACAAAAAAGCCGGGCGTGGTGATGGGCACTGTAATCCCAGCTCCTCGGGAGGCTGAGGTGAGAACTGCTTAAACAAGGGAGGGAGAGAATGTAATGAGCCGGTATCACGCCACTGCACTCCAGCCTGGGCGACAGAGTGAAACTCCGGCTCAAAAATAAAAAAAAAAAAAAAGTTAGCCGGGCATGCTGACGGGCGCCTGCAGTCGCAGCTACTCAGGAGGCTAAGGCAGGGTAATAGGTGAACCCGGGAGGCGGAGCTTACAGTGGGCCGAAATCACACCACTGCACTCCAGTCTGGGCGACAGAACAAGACTCCATCTCACAAGTAAATAATAAAATAATAAATAAAATGTTAATAAGCACATGCAGCTCACGGCGACCATATTAGTGCAGACCACATGCATAAGGCTCAACTGGTGTTATGCCCAGACGCTGATTTATTCTTCAGCACCCCTCAGCTCAGACCTCCCTGGCACCTGCTCAGAGCTCGTTGGCACTCGGCAGCCGCTGCACCTCGCACTGGGCGTCCTCGTGGGCCTGCATGGCGCAGTTGGTCTTTTCCCGCAGGCGCTGCAGTTGTTCCTCTAGGGCCCGCCGCTCACTCTCGCTGTCGCTAAGCTGCTTCCGCAGGGTGCCCAGACCTGGCTTGCCTCATAGCGCCCACCCATGTTCTGGGGCGTGGGGATCACAGAGTCTACGGGGGTCCTGGGAGGCCTCCAGAGCCCACCTACTCTCTTCTAGTTCCAGGGACACACACCAGCCTACGCTAGGCGGGGTCCAGGGCCTGGACCTGGCCTGGGACAGGATGGGACCTAGGCCTGAGAGCCAAGCTTCCGTTCCCCTACTATGTGCCCTCACTACCCTCTGAGCCCTCACCTCCCTGGGGTCCCGGACAATTCCTGTCAAACTTCCCCGGATGCGAGACAAACCCCCAGGCACCTTCGTCTCCTGGGTTCTGACCCCACCCCCAGGGCTCCCAGGCTCCGCCCCTTTGCATCCTTGTTCCACTCTCAGACCCCTCCCTACCCTGGCTCTGCCCCTAGTTCCCGAGCTCCTCTCATCCTAGGCTCAGATTCCCCTTGCTAGAACTTCTCCCAGAATCCTGGCTCTGTATGACCAGGGACATGACTCCCTTTCTACAATGACCCTAACACTGCAGCAGTCTCCTCCCTCCACCAGCTGCCCAAGCACCCCCATTTCAGGGCTCGGCTTCACCGCAGAGCTCTCGGCCACCTCCTTCGGGGTCATGACACCCTCAGGCACTATTTCTCAGGGCTCTCTGGCTGCACCCTGCGGCGCTCAGACTCCTCTCCCCGACCCTGGCCCCTGACCCGCCCCCACCCCCGCTCCCGCCCCGACCCGGAGGGCGCTAGCCCCTCCCCCCTCCCGCCCCCGGGCCTCTGGCTGCGCCCAGAACCCTCAAGCCCCTTCCTACCTGGACCTGCAGCTGGCACTTGTGCAGGGCGGAGTGGATCAGGGCGAGTTTGGAGGAGTCTGAGCAGGCCGGGGAGAGGGGCCTCGGCGGGGCGAACGGCCTCGGCCTGGCTAGGAGCGCCGTCGTGGGGACGGGGTCCACTGGCCCGAGAGCCCCGGCAGGCTCTCGGCTCCGAGACACTTGGAGACGCTCAGCTGGACGCCGCTCTCAACATAGCACAGGACGGCCTGAGGGTAGGGGAGGGAGGCAGAAGGAGGCCACAGAGTTAGGAACCGCGGGTTTAGCTGGTAAAGATGCCCAGGCGAGGCTGGGGGCTGCCTCATTCCAAATGCTCCCTCCTACAAGAAGCCTTCCTGATTTCACCTCCTCCACTAGCTCAGTCCTCAGCTCGCCGCTGAGGCCTCCGATTTATTGCGAAGACATCATTTGGCCTTGCTCACAGGTGGGCTCCGGAAGGGCGTTGCCTCCCCTCTGACACTGGGGGTTCCCCAGGGCAGGGGCCGGTTGAGCTAGCAGGGCTGCTGAGCAGCTGCAGCCTGGGCCCCAGGCCCGCACCTATTTGCAGTTCAGTCCCAGGCCACCGAAAGGCGTGGCGGGGAGCCAGGACTGCCGGCAGAACCCTATCTTCCCCCTCCTCAGGCTCACGCCATGCCAGGTCCCTTAGGGTCTGCTGTAGCCCTCTCCATCCCCTCTGTCTCCAGGGCCGCCTGCTCCTGTAGTCGCGGTGATTCCTGGAGTGCAGTTGAGGAGACAAAGGAGTGGTCAGGTTCTGTCTTATCTGAAACCTCCCCTTCCCCTCCCTCCCTGGCCCACAACTGACCAGGTGGCCTCTGAAGCCATGTCCATCGGCCAGGCACCTGGCCCGAGGGCAGCAGGCCCGAGCCCTCACTGAACAGACCAAGCCCAGAAGAGCTGTGTCTGCCCCATGTCACACAGTCAATGAGACAGCTGGACCTAGAACCCAGGCCAGGCCCCACACAGAGGGGTGACCAAACCAGGCTGTACCCTGGGGTAGTGAGTGTCCCACACTGGTGGGGAGGGTAGCTGGGTTGCCAGAGGCAGCATCTGGACCTGGAAAGCGCAAATGGGAGTTTAAGTCCCAACTCTCCTGCTTACTGGCTCTGAGACTGGACAAGCAGTTCCCCTCTTGGGCCTCAGTTTCCCCCATCTGTGTCATGAGGATTACACTGCTGGGCTGCTGGGGGAAGAGAAATGGGATGGAGGAGGTGAGTGTGCTTACCACGAAGATTGCACACCTGTGAGGCTGAACCTGAGTGTGAGTGGGACACTGGGGTGGGCAGCCCAGCCCTAAGCCTGCGTCCATGGATCTGGCAGTGCCCATCCCACCCTGCCACATCTCAGGGGCAGCTCGTGCTCACCAGGGCCTCCAAGCTTCTCAGTGAGGTCATGACCCGACCTGATCCTTCTCCAGATTTTGCTTCTGAAGACGCTCCACTGCCACACCCAGCTCTGTCACTCTGGGTGGGGGAGCAGCAAGTGAATGGGGACCACCCCTGCCTCTCAAATCCACTAGCTCTGTGTCCACCATGCTTCTCCAAACCCCGAGGCAGGGACCTAACATCCACCTCCTGGCACCCAGCCTTTGACCTTAGGCAAGTCCCGGCTCCTCTCCAGACCTCACACTTCTCATCTGTGAAATGGGAATGAGGTTCCCACCAGCTTTATCTCATGGGAAAGCACTTGAGGACGTGTCCAGGTGGCAGGAGTAAGGGGCACAAGTTCTTTTCTTTTTTTTTTTTTTTTGAGACAGAGTTTCCCTCTGTCATCCAGGCTGGAGATACAGTGTGATCTTCACTCACTGCAACCTCCACATCCTGGGTTCAAGCGATTCTCCTGTCTCAGCCTCCCTCATAGCTGGGATTATAGACACGCGCCACCACACCAGACTGGTTTTTGTATTTTAGTAGAGACAGAGGTTTCGCCTGTTGGGCAGAGCTGGTCTTGAGCTCCTGACCTCAGGTAATCTCCCCACCTTGGCCTCCCAAAGTGCTGGGATTACAGGTGTGAGCCACCACACCCGGCCACAAGTTCTGTCATCAGAGGCTAAGCTGTTTATGATATACACTGGGCAAGTGCCTTGAACCTCAGTGGGGTGCCTGGGAAGACTGGCTGAGCTCCCACAGAGAGGAGGCCCTGTGCTAGTGAACAGATGCTCCCTTCTCCCCAACTCTCCAGTTTTCCCTTCTGCAGGACGCCTGCCTTGTATGCAGCGCCCACCAGGCCACCATTGGCACTGGTCAGCCTCACAGGTCGCTTTGCATCTGCTGCTGGGCCAGGTCCTTCTCGCGGAGCACCTTGTCCTGCAGCTGCTCATCAGCTGGGCCGCTGCTTCTCCAGGGCTGCCTCGGTCGGCTCTCTGCCAGCCGCAGGTCAAGTGATCAGTCCCAGGCCTGCCTCTGGACAGCTCATGATGTCGGGCCAGCTCCCCTCCCAGCCAAGCAGGTCCGCTTGGGGAGAGAGCACAGGCTGGCGACGGGATGGGGCTCACTCCCAACTACAAATTAAAACTATGCTGGGGCCAGGTGTGGTGGCTCACATCTATAATCCCAGCACTTTGGGAGGCTGAGGCGGGCAGATCACCTGATGTCAGGAGTTCAAGACCAGCCTGGCCATCATGGTGAAACCCCGTCTCTACTAAAAATACAAAAAATTAGCCAGGCATGGTGGCACACTCCTGTAGTCCCAGCTACTTGGGAGGCTGAGGCAGGAGAATTGCTTGAACCCAGGAGGTGGAGACTGCAGTAAGCCGAGATCATGATGCTGCACTCCAGCCTGGGCGAGCACAGCTGAACTGCATCTCAAAAATAAATAAATAAAATAAAAATAAAAATAAAACTATACTAGGCTGGGTGCGGTGGCATGCACCTGCAGTTTCAGCGATGTGGGAAGCTGAGGCAGGATTGCTTGAGCCCAGGAGTTTGGGGGAGCCAGCATGGGAAACACAGTGAGACTCCATCTCAAAAGAGGGGCCGAAAAACACAAACACACACACACACACACACACAAACCCTACACTGGGATGCCATTTGTCCACTATCAGATTGGGGGGAAAAAAAGGGTCACATAATAAACAGGGAGGGGCTCTGGGGTAACAGGCGCTCCCCTACACAGCTGGTGGGAAGGTAGTACAACACAATGAGAGCACTGGGGAGGTTCCGAGAACTATGCATGCATAGGACCTTCCCACCAGCTCCTCCTCTAAGAACATATCCAAAGATATCGCCAGCACAGAGAGAAGATGGCTTGTGTACAAGGAGGTTCACTTTGCAGCATTGCTCCTTCACCAAAAATCCCGGTGACAACCTGAATGTCTATCAAAAGGGGACTGCTACTAAGTACATGATGGTACATCCATTCAGTGGAACACTCTGTAGTCAAGAAAACCAGTGGAAATTCTTACTGGTCTGACACAAGTCACCTCCCAATTATAACTAATGTGTGAAGAAAGCATCTTCAAGAACTGTGAAGATGAAATTTTACCAGGCATATATACAAAAGTATGCATGTCTGTGTGTGTGTGTGTGATCTGCTTTATTTGATTATGTAAGATAACCCTGGAAGGTCACTTAAGAAACTGATAGGCCAGGCGCGGTGGCTCACGCCTGTAATCCCAGCACTTTGGGAGGCCAAGGCGGAGGATCACCTGAGGTCAGGAGTTCGAGACCAGCCTGGCGAAACCTCTACTAAAAGGCTGCAAAAATTAGTTGGGTGTGGTGGCTCATGCCTGTAATCCCAGCTACTTGGGAGGTGGAGGTGGGAGAATCGCTTGAACCGGGAGGCAGAGGTTGCAGTGAGCCAAGATCGTGCCACTGCACTCCAGCCTGGGAGACAGAGCAAGACTGCATTTTGAAAAAAAAAAAAAGAGAAGAAAAGAAACTGATAATGCTTCTCATAGTAACTTGGTGGCCAAAAAAAAGAAAAAAAGAAAAAAATTGTATATATAAAAGAAAAAGAAGCTGATGTGCTGCTTGCCTACAAGGAGGAAGGGAATATCTGGGGTCAGCGGGGAGAGCCGTTTACTGTGTACCCTTTTGAAATGTGAACCTTGTGAACATGTGACTTAATCAAAAGTAAAATATAAAAATTTTAAAGCTACTTAAAAATTTTGTTTTGTTTTTTTTGAGACAGTCTCACTCTGTTGCCCAGGCTGGAGTACAGTGGTACAATCTCGGCTCACTGCAACCTCTGCCTCCCTGGTTCAAGCGATTCTCCTGCCTCAGCCTCCCGAGTACCTGGAATTACAGGCGTGCGTCACCACCCAGCTAATTTTTGTATTTTTAGTAGAGATGGGGTTTCACCATGTTGGCCAAGTTGGTCTTGAACTCCTGACCTCAGATGATCTACCTGCCTCAGCCTCCCAAAGGCTGGGATTACAGGCGTGAGCCACTGAGCCTGGCCTTAAAAATGTATTTTAAGGCCAGGCATGGTGGCCCATTCTGCTATTCCAGCACTTCAGGAAGGCAAGGCAGGTGGATTGCTTGAGTCAGGAGTTCGAGGTCAGCCTGGGCAACATATAAGACCCTGTCTCTAAAAAAAAAAAAAAAAAAATTAGCTGGACATGGTGGTGCACACTTGCAGTCCCAGCTACTTGGGAGGCTGAGGTGGGAGGATCACTTGAACCTGGGAGGTCAAGCCTAACGTGAGTTGTGATTGTGCCACCGCACTTCAGCCTGGGCAACAGAGAGACACTGTCTCAAAAAAAAAAATTGTATTTTAAGTCCATAATACAGGTTAAATCCTTTCCTTTCCTGAATGAACTGTACCCCTGGTTATCAATACTAAGGAGGAAAGTGCCTCATTCAAGAATTCTAATTAATATACAAAGGGAGTGACTAAATGAGAAGCTCACAGTTTTTAAGCCTCTGGTGAGTGGGTTGGATCTCAAAAAGAGAGTCACCAGGCACAGGGACATCCCGATGGAAGAATACATTCTACTTATGGAGTCTTGATTGATTAATTAATTACATGATGTACATGTAATTACATGATTATACAAAATTGCATGATGTACAAATTACATGATGTATTTAATTAATTAATTAATATAAAATAAAAGCAAACAAAGAACCTGAATCTGACCTAGCTTTAGATCCAACATCTAATTTACAGGAAATACATGGGATAAGAAACATGTTTAATTGACACCATAATGATGCAACCAACAAAATCCAGGCCAAAGAATCTCCAAGGACAATTGGCCCAGTTT